GTCACTGCTTTGGAATACAATTGAGAGAAATTAATTATAGAATCCTACAATAATGGAGTTGGAAGGGGCCTAAAAGGCCATCAAGTCCATTCTTCTGCTCAAGGCAGGAATCGAAATCAGATGACTCCATCACTGAAGCACTCACCACCTCCTCTCGAGGTCCTGGGTTTCATTGTTATACTGCTCTAACAGGAAGTTTTTCCTGATAGTCACTTGAAATCTGGCATCCTGTGAGCTTACATGTCCTTCACTATGGCGTGATAGAGGACACAATACTCAAGGTGAGGTCTAACTAGTGTTGAATAGAGAGCAACTAGTATCTCAAAGGATCTGGCGATTAATCCTTCTGTTAATGCAGCCTAAAATAGCATTTGCCTTTTTTGTAGCCACATCGCCTGTTGGCTCATGTTCAGCTTGTGATCTATAAGAATTCCAAGATCCTTCTCCCTCATAGTATTGCTGAGCCATATGCTCCCCATCTTCTTCTTTTTTCTTTTCTTTAATTTTTTAATTATACAATCTACATTTATTCAAATACAGTCATGTCATCTTCTTCTGGTTGCTGCACAGTGGTGAAGGGTGGGGTTTCACTTAACTAGGGCTTATTTTTGGGGTAGGGCTTATATTATGAGCATCCTGAAAAATCCTACTAGGGCTTATTTTCAGGTTTCGGAGAAATAGGGTACACATAAAACACCAGTGTCACTTTCACCATCAGGGCTGGTATTAACTATATACTATATATATAATTCATTCAGTCCATTTTCTCTCCAGAACTTCATTGTTTTTCCCTCGGTGTATGTCCCTTCCCTCTCTGAAATACATATTCCAAGAATATACTCCATATTTTTTTAAAAAATCATTATATTTTGATAGGCCTTATTTTCATATCACATGCCAATTTATCATTAATTGCCATATCCCATAATTCTCTGTACTATTCCTCTAAATTAAATTGGTTATCATTTTTCCAGTTTCCTGCAAGGATTAACCTTGCTACTGTAACTATTATTACAATTAAATCCTTATTTTCTTTCAACATTTGATCTTTCATAACCATGTTCAATAAAGTCATTGACGGGGACCTTTGAATATTTAATCCAGTTACAGTATTTCCCTTATTTCTTTAAAAATTTGCATCCATTCTTTCTTCCTTACTTCACGTAACCACTACATATGTAAATACATCCCCTTCTCTTTTTTGCACCTCCAATATAGTGATGATACATTTTTATTTATTATATTCAGTTTTACTGGTGCTAAATACCATCTCCATATTACCTTATAACAACTTTCCTTTATCCTTACAGGCATGTTCCTCATAATTCTTTGGTCCCGCATTTTATCCCACTCTTCTCCTACTGCTTCTTTATCCAAATCATATTGCCACTGTGCTTTTAATCCTTGTGTATCCTGTTCGGCCTGCATCAATAATTTATATATTTGACTTACAGTTCCCTTTCTTTCTGTCTTTTCATCTAATTTCAATCTTTTTTCAATGATCTCTTCAAATTTTGTCATTTTTCTACTTTTCCCTTCCTTCCTTTTCCATTCCCTTGTCCACCTTTCTATTTGAATCAAATTAAACCAGGAAGTCCTCTCTCTCCTCCCAATATCACTTTTATATTTCCTTTATCTTTCATCTTTTCATCTAATCTTTTATCCTATTTATCCCTTTATCTTTTAATTTATTCTTAAAAGTTTTTCTAAGATTTTCTGGAAAATTCTTTAAATCCACAACCTGGGATAAGGGAGAGATTGGTGGACTCAATATACCTCTAAACTTTTTCCAATTTTCTAACATATTTTAAAGGAAGGGGTTAGTAGTTTTTTAAATCACTTCTATCTTTTCTTTAAACAATATACTTTCAATTTTTTCTTCCTTATTCTGCATTTCTATTTCTGTCCAGATTAAGTTTTTATTACCTTTAATAATATCTGGGATATGTTTAAGTTGGTTTGCTATATAATATAATTTTAAATTGGGTAATCCAAGACCTCCCTTTTTTGTGTTATATACCATAATTTCTTACTAATACTCACTTGTTTATTTCCATTACAGTAACAATTTATCATTATCTGCCATTCTTTCAATTATTTTTCTGTAATCTTTATAGGAAGCATCCAAAATACAAAGTTTAATTTAGAAATAACATTCATTTTACACAATGCTACTTTACCAAACCAGGAAATCTTTAATTTCTGATAATCTTTTATCCTTCCAATTATCTCTTTTTTCAATCTATCCAAATTTATTTTCATTATATCCTGTAATTCCAGGTAATATTAATCCCTGCATATTTAATAACGTTTTCCATTTTTCCTTTGTGAAGGTTTGTTATTAAGGGGGTCAGTCACTTTCAATAAAGACCGAGACGTGGTAAACTTTCCAGCTGGTTCTGCATTTATTCGGACATCAACATCAATGGGAACATTATGAGTAACAATTTCTCAGGCTCTTGTTCCCCCAATCCGGGGCGCAAGGGTGTCCATAAACTCCCCACAAAGGGGTTGCTGTCCTCCATAGTCCAAGGGCCAGTTAAACCTTTCACTGGAATCTGGGTTTCTGGAGCTTCTTCTTCTGG